TATGCAAACATTCACTATTCAAACCCCTCATCAATGAGGTCATCGGTGTACCGCTTGTAAATGTTATATAATATTTAATCTTAAACATGCCATGAGTGTAAAATGAAGCGATCAGCTGTGTGTTACAGGAAGTGTCCGTTTGGTCTGCGTGAGCTGTGGCAGTCAGAACGTTTGGGCCGTGGACAGTCGAGGACTCGTTTACTTCAGAGTTGGAACTCAGCCGCTCAATTCCAGCATGATGATGCCGGCCTGGATCCCCATTGACCTTCCGGTGCAGGTAAGGACTCATACAGGTGTGAGGTCAGTTTCCTTTTGGTTGATTAGCAGTAGCAGCCATCTTAAATTGTATTAGCTCCACAGTGTTTCTGTGTAATTTTCATGTAATTTGTCGTTTAGCCAGCCGGAGTGCAGCTGGTCAGCATTCAGACGAGTCCTAATGACCGACTCCTCTGGGCTCTGGACAACAAAGGAAGTGTCTTCGTCAGGACTGGACTAAGTGATGAGATGCCCGTTGGGACGGGCTGGGACTTTGTACCAGGTGTTGGAACTGAACATCTGTGTGGTGTGTATGATCTGTCCTGCCCTCAGACACTAGTGTGTAATGTGTGTCTGTGTATCTGCAGGGCTGGCTGTCCGTCATCTGGTCCTCAGCTGTCGGACCGCGTGGGTTCGGTGTGTGAACGGAGATCTGGCTCGACGTTACGGCATTTCTGACAAAAACCCAGCGGGAGATTACTGGAAGAAAATCCCTGGGAACGCCAACTCCTTTACGGGTAAAAGTGGACTTTTTTAAACTCGAATTTATCCATGAATAGTATCTGGTGTGATTGAGGTAAGAGCTTGGAGAGACGTAGTTGTTAGTTGGTGAATTAAGTCCCTGCACACTGGATGACGACCTCGAGTTCACTCCCCACACCTCCTTTAGTGTGAAGACAATCGTGGCGCTGCTCTGCGCTCAGGGCTCCTTCTGTAGGTTCTTCCTGGTATTTTCATGAGATGCCCTAATGTTCAACAGAACAGTAATTAAAGAGTATATTGATTCAACCTCAGCATGGATTGAAAGGCTCATGTAAAGTGTCAAACACTTCCACGGTGTACAGTAGGTACTGAGACCATGAAGGTCATGGGGTTCCCTTTGAAAGACTGCAGATACTACCAAAGGGTAATGACCTGGTACTGAGAACTAGATGTCCCAGTAGGCTGTAGGGTGTATTTTGCAAGACCTATGAGCCGTAGAGCTCAAAGGACTTTAAATGTGATGAGTTGTTGGGGGGAGGGGTCGCTGCATCCCTCTAGCTGCATTTGCTAGGAAGTGTAGGGTCAGTGGGGCTTGTAATGATTGCAGTGTGGAAGTCCTGCCTGCACCGATGTGACGGCTGACAGCAGCTCAGCCCAGAGGGAGCCAAATGCCTCTTCTTCTAATTAACGACAAGCATGAATGGAGAGTACTCGCACTGGAAGCTAGATTCAGACACCTGCGACGACGAGAGCAAATTTTGTGTTGCCACATTATTGGATCACAAACAAATTGACAACCCCAGCAAGTGTTTGAGCTCCTCTTGGATGCTCCCCGGCAGATACCGTTCATGCTTTGTGTCCAGCAGTCGCAGCTCAGTGACAAACGGACCCCGTTAGTCGCATTAATTACCCCTTTTCACAGCAGCTTCCTCCTACTATCTGTGGTTTTGAGCTGTGTGCCATGACGAGTGGCTCACAGGATTTAAATCATATATGTGTAAACCGGCCACCCATATCTTTTGAGGAAACTATGGTTTCTAGTTTTTATATTGTTAAAAGTATAGTTTCTTCCAATGATTGGGGTGGTCTAGGATTAATCTATGGTGATCAAAGCCACCATTAACCACCCTGTAGCTCCTCCACTGCACCTGGCGGTGGATAAACCTGCTCCCTCCACTCCAGGATCCGTCACACGCCGCCGCCTCGGACAAGAAAATCAAACTCTCCCTCTGTTCTTCTCCACAGCGCAACTCCTGCCCTCTTGAATATCTTCCACCAAAAACATTTAGGTTTACTCTCATTCTGTTCACGTCAGTCTAGAAAAAACACTCATCTGTTCTTAGCACGATTAAAGGCCGCCACATGAATCAACAACCGTTGGTCGTTAGGCCGATGTTGGCTCGTGGGAAAGTTTAGCCTTCAACACAGCACTGCAGACGACCCGTCTCACCTGTCAGGTGTTTCTCTCCACAGTTACCGCAGAAGAAGACTTGTGGGCGGTGACTCCCGTCGGCGGACTGTGCCGTCGGCTAACCAAGCTCCTCCCACAGATGCCAAGCAGCGCGCCACGCTCGGACCCGGTCCTGGGAGGAGACAATGTTGACGATGAATGGGAGCTCATCTGACCCGCTTCATCCAGTCTGGGTCCACTCAGAGGGACACTGTGATGTCACTTTATAAACTTTTGGACGGACGGGATTTGTCCTGTTTGATGTCGATGCAGGACCAAACACTGGACAGGTGATGGACCCCGGAGGACGTTTGTTTTATTTTTGTAATAACATGAAGCACTTTAACCTGGAAGGTGTGTAGGGGGAAAGGGGGGGGGGGGGGGGGTCTATACTACTGTTATTGACAGTCCAGTCCAAACTGGTCCAAACTGGAATGAAACCTGCTGTAGAGTTTTTAGTGATTATGTTTTTGTTTTTCTGTCTGTTAGCAAAATATTTAATGAACCACTGGACTGATTTTTATAAACCTCTCATTGTATGTACAGATTAATCTTTGAGCCCGCCCAAATCAAGATGGCCGCCACAACAAACCAACCTCAACAAACACAGAAATAGCTCAAGCTCAGTTTTATTTGCTGTGGCAGTAGCTGAAATCGTCCTTAGCTCATACTCCCGAGCTCAACATCTTACCTTGAACCCTGACAAAACAAGTTTGTCTGTTAGCAAAATATCTTATAAACCACTTTCAAAGTTATCACTGGATGTACATCTAGAACCTGAATCAAGATGGCCGCCGCAGCTGATCGACTTAAACAAAACGTAAAAATGGCTACAGCTCCGTCAGTTTTAGATACGGAGCTAAAATCTGGTGTGGTAGTAGCCGAGGGTTATTCACTTCACACAATCTGAGCGCTCACAGATCGTACGAGGTGGCGGGTGATATGCATTCCTTCAAAGAATGCGTCTTTTTGTATTTATGATTTATTTATTTTGGACTCTAAAGGGACGTTGGACAGATCGGATCATCCCGACCCGATTCAGTCGGAGTAAAAGTTTCCTTTTGGTTGTAAATCGCAGACTGTGGACGTGCGTATAAACACTTAAATGTTTTATCGGTTCTGGAGGGCTGAAGGACTTTACAGAAGTCTAACAAAGCGGGTCCTGGCTGGAACCCAAAACCAGGATTCCAGACCCAGTTCCATCTAAAACGGTTCTGTGTGTGGACAATAAAGAGACACTTAACCTGAATATTAACAGGACTAACAGTTCGCTCTGACCTTCACCTGTTCTTGCTCATTTTATTTTCTGCAGTGAATAGTTCACATTTTCTCATCACCCACCTTTCTGCAGCGGGCGATAATGTTGTTGTCTTGGGTTTAGCAGGCGGCATCATGGACCACAGGGTGGACTTTAATGAAAGATCCACAAAGTCACCAGGAAATATAAATACGGGAGCAGCTAAAAACTGCAGTAATCGGTCCGTTTTACAGACATGGAGCTAACGTTTGCAGTGGTAGTAGCTGAGAGTCGTCCCTAAAATAAAATGTTTCCAAATCCAGCTTTAAAATTATTGTAGCTCATTAAAGAGAACAAACTGGCAGCTTTAATTTTTTTTTACATGATAAGGCACCAAGTGTGAAGTGTACTATATACATACATACAAGTATACATTGTGGTATTTTTGCAGTCTTGTTCAACATGTTGGTGACACCAACAGAATCGACATCTTTCTGATGTCTGGGCAAAAAGTGCTGATGACGTCACCCGTCCCTAATCCATTAGTCTATTTACAGTTTGTTTAAATTTCAGTCATTCAGAGTCAGAGTCCTCACTGACAGGCGTCCTGCAGCAGGACGTCCGGCAGCAAACTGATCCAGTCCGGTCCGGACCGGGCCAGACACCTGAGCGCCTGCATCAGGAGTGGGGGCGGGGCCAGGCCGCAGAGCCAGGTGAACACCTTGTTACCCAGCAGGCTTTGCCAGCGCTGCGGCTCGTCCTGCAGGCAGGGAAGCCGCGGGGGTTCGGACAGGAACAGCAGCAGGAGGTCCACGCAGCGCTGCGCGTCCTGGCGCGCCGCCGCGTCGCAGGACACCAGAGTCTGTAGCGCCACGTCGAGCGCGTCGGCTCGCGCGCCGTGGAGCAGGAGCTGCAGCAGGCAGCTGGGGTGCGACAGCTCCACCGCCAGCTGCACCGCGCTCTTCCCCGCGTCCGCGAAGTGAGGACAGCCGCCGCAGCCGTCCAGGTACTCCCGCCGCTCGCGCGCTCCGTCGCAGTCCTTCAGGACCTCCAGCATCATGCGCAGGATGGCCACGCGCTTGTAGCGCACCGCCACGTTCAGGTGCGGCGCGCTCTTGCAGCAGCCGCAGAGGCTGCAGCCCGGCGCGGCGAGGGCGCCCACAGAGTACCTGCTCAGGAGGTCGCGTGCGTAGTCCTGGTGGTCGTGCACGAGTGCGTACAGCAGCGCCTCGGAGGGCAGGAAGGCTCGCGGGCAGCCGTCGTTCCAGCAGAGGACCTCCATGCTGCGCATGTCCTCCAGCAGCCAGACCGGCATCCGCTCGCGCACCGCGCGGTAGAAGGAGAAGGCGGTCCGCTCACAGTGCCGCTGGGACGGGGACAGGGTGTCCAGTGGGGAGGACAGCACCCACGGCATCAGGGGACACCAGAGGGGGGACACCGGAGGACTGCTGGGTCTTTAAAGAACCGGAAGGATGAGGTCTCGGTCAAACGTTTGGGCTCAGTTCTTCCACAGTTTTATAGCTGCCCCCCCCCCCCCATCCCCACACACAGGCCGCGCCCCCACCCCCCTCTATGTGTCCATGTTTATCAGTCTGGCTCAGGGAGGACAGATCATGTGTCTCACATAGAGAACATAGTGGTCCAACTTCCAGCCAGGACGGAACAAAATCCTCCTCAGTCAAAACAACTAGAGACCATTAAAAACAAACTGGCGGGTGATGATGTAACTTGTTTTTATTTGATTGCCATAATAAACAAACAGTAAGTTTATGAATGCATGGTGTGAATTATTTTTCCTTCTGCTCAGATTGTGTTAATTTGATTCAAATAACTGCAAATTATCTAAAAAAATAGCTTTTTTTGTTTGTTTGTTTAATGTCACGCATATTTATAACATGGGGGTGTGGTGGTTTGCCCACCCAGTGGATTTGGAGGTGTTTGACCTCCAGGTACCGGGTGGGGGGGTCTCTGTTGCTGACCCGTCAGTTCTGACTCAAATGGTGTGAGAGTTCTGCTGCTGGCAGTATGTCGGACCTGTTCGGGGTGGGAGTTGGTTCTTGTGGAATGTTCTGGTCATAACTTTATAATTTCTCGGTGCAGCCAGGGGGTGGGAGGGGTCCAGTCAGTGGCCTCTAGGTTCAAATCTCTGCTCTTCAGATGATGTGGTCCTGTTCATCTGCAATCTCAAGTTCTCACTGGAGCGGTTCAGTGAAGCAGCTGCATGAGGATCAGAACCTCCAGATCTGAGGCCGTCCTCAGAGGGTGGACTGTCCTCGGCTGGTGGGGGGTGAGGTTCTGCCTCAAGTGAAGGACTTCAAGTATCTGGGTTTTGTTCAAAGTCAGGAATGGAGCATGAGATCAAGAGACGAACCTGTGCGGCTTCTGCAGTATTGTGGACTCTGCGCCAGTCCATTGTGGTGAAGACGGAGCTGGGCTGCAAAGTGAAGCTCTTTGCCGGGGTCAGTCTACGTTCCTACCCTCACCTGTGGTCACAAGTTCTGGGAAGTGACCAAAAGAACAAGATCACGGATCCAGGCGGTTGAAATGAGTTTCCTCCAGAGATGATGAGAAGTTCAATTCTTCAGGGGAGACTCTCTGAGTAGAACTGCTGCTCCTTCACATCCAGAGGAGGCAGATGAGGTGGTTCAGATATCTGCCGAGGATGGATCTTGGATGCCTCCCGGAGGTGCTTCTGGACATGTCCAACTAGGAGAAGACTCAGGACACTGGAGGAACTATGTCTCAGCCTGGAGTCCTCCAGAAGAACTGGAAGAGAGATGTCTGGACCTCCCTGATCAAGCTGCTGGCCCCGAAACCTGAGTCCAGAACCAGCAGGACGATGGCTCATGAGACAAAACCCGATTCACCAACATGAGCAGAAGACAACATGGATGTTAATAACTGGACCTGGGTTCCCGGGCCCCACCCTGGAGCCAGACCTGTGGGAGAGGCTTGTTGGTGAGCGTCAAGTGACTGGGCCGCTACCAATTTTGAGATGGTAAATCTTTTGCACACTCAGTCAAATATTCGTGATAATACTGAAAAATATGATTTTTTTTTTGTTAAATTGGATATTTTAAAACTTTACAACACAACTCGGATAACAGCTCAGACCCAGTGTTCCCCAAAAACACAGGAGGATGAAGGGGAAGAAGAAAACAAAGCAAAAACAGCAGATTAAGATCAACAAAACCTTGCAGCATAAAAGCTGATTTCAGGTTTGACATAGTCCAAGTGGTTCCCAGGCCTTGAGGAAACGGTGTCATGTGTAAAACATGTCAGATATTCTCATGCACCAAGTCCTGCAGTATCTTTGCCGGCCTTTAACACTATTGTCCACTGCATCAGGATAGTTTTCCTTCTGCAAACGTGAGTATGCAATAAAATCCTTTTTTATCGCTCGAGATAACATTTTTATGAGACAGCCCTAAAAGTAGAGACAAAGGATTCATTCGTACACATATTCCTAATATTTTCTGTATCTCACAAATTATATCAGACCAATATTTTTGCAGCGACAAACAGAAAAAAAAAAGAGAGAGAAAACGCTAAATTTATGACTTGGCACCATAATTATGACCTAGTCTCCCAACATTATGACATATAAGCCTAATCCTAAAATTTAGATTTAGCGTCCCATAAATATGAATTGATAAACCAACAAACAAGTTTGAGATAATCCTGATTATGGATTAGCTTCTCATTATTACACGATATCTCATATTTAAAAGATATATGTCAAAATTACAAAACACTATCTTGGTGTATATGAGATCCTATAGAAATTATGACAATAACAAAGTTATGAGATGCCAAGTCACATGTTTCTGATGATTCGTCATAAAGTTATTACAAATTAGCAACACATATTTATGAGATGCCTAACTTATGATGAGAATCTCATAAAATACCATGTCACAGTTAGGAGTAATACCTCAAACTTAAAATTATGATCTAGCATCTCTAAACTGAGACTAAACAGCTCATTATTATGAAACGCCTACTCATAATGATGAAATTAATCAACATTAAGTTAATTTATAATAAGTAGATAATTTATAATTTTTGGATGCAATTACATAATTATGTCGACAATTAATTTATTATAGTAGAGTTGGGCTTACTCTCATAAACAGCCTCTGTGGTGATTTTGTGATTAGCCTATTGTAGCAGTATAGTAATAAAACGAGAGAAATTGCATTTCCTGCGAAAATGCAGTGTGAACTTGCTGAAAAACAGCTGAAATTAGCTAAAAAATATACTGAAATATAGCTGAAATGGAAGAACAAGCCTTAATTAGCAGAAGAAAACAGAAACATATTTGCTGACATAGGTTTAGATAAGCAGAAATTAGTAAAAAAAAAAGTAAATTAGCTTAAAAAAACTGAAATTAGAAAAAACAATTGCTGAAAGGAAGAAAGAAGCTCAGCAGAAAGAGCTGAAATGCGCTCAAAAATGTGGAATTAACTGAAAAAGCTAAACTTAGCATATAAACAGCTAAATAGTAGCTGAAATAGCAGAAAAAGGTTAAACTAGCATAACTAACCTGAAAGGAGTACAACAAGCTGAAATTATCTGAAAGAAGTTAATTAGGCTGAAAGTAGCAGAAATTACCAAAAAACGACTTTAATAAATCTGAAAACATCCAAGATTAGCTAGAAAATGCTAAAAAGGTAGCTGAAAAGTTAGAACAAGCTTAAATTAGCAGTAGAAAGCAGAAAAAACATGTTTGGCCAATTAGGCTTAATGAAGCAGAAATGAGCACAAAAAGTGGAAATTATATGAAAATAAAAACTGATGAAAAGTAGCTAAAAAAGCAGAAAGAACCCTAAATTACAAGGAGGTGGAGAGAGCACATTTTTGCTGAATTAGGCAGAAAAAAAGTTTAAATTAGTGCAAAAAATGTGGAATAAAGCTATAATAGCGTGAAAACAGCTAAATAGCTGAAATGGCAGAAAAGGCTAAATATTTCAAAAAGCTAAAGTTGCACCAACACCAAAAGTCATTGCAGGATTGTCCTGAAAGGATGTTTTGATTTATGACTTGTCGAAATAGCACAAAAGTTGTAGAATGACAGATATGCTGAAAAATGTACAGAAGAACAATCATCACAATATGCTTCATAAGCACTCACACGATTATGATCAGTGTTAAGATAATTTATGATGATGAGCTGAATTATGATTTTCAGATAATTATGTTATTTTTCTTTATTGTGGCAGATCACATGTAAACAGTAAATATAAATCCTCTGTGGTGACTGTGTGATTATAGTAGTGGTATACTCTAGTGATTATATTAAAGTGATCAAATGAACTTTGATTTAGTGAATGTGCATTTTTCTCCTGGTGTGCTTGTTAAAGTTGACCTGTGATGGCAGCAGAGATCTCAGAGCTGCTCAGGATGATCACATGGGCTTCTTTCTGCTCTCATTTATTTTAATAAATGTGGGTCGGTTCTGGGATAGTCTGAGCCGGATTCCAGACCCATGTGGGCCCGGTTTCCTTTGATCTTCGGAGGTTCGAGCTGTTCGTTGGACCCTGAACTTTTCGGGCATCTTCTCGGAGCTTCTGTTAGCATCGCAGGTTGAGCTTCGCCGTTTGAAACTTTTCTTCGCCCCGGAGCTTTATTTGCACTTTTAATCAAACAAAGGGCCGTGCTGCTGCTGGTTCCGACCCAAACTCTCGGGTCATCCCTCTCTGCCAAGACCTTTATTATTATTATTGTTATTATTACTCGTTTCCCCCGGCAGTGGAAGCTAACAGGCTAACTGAAGTTTAGCGCTAGCCTCAGCTACTTTTTGTTCCCCTCGTCATGCCGGCGATGCTGGAGAGGAACCCGGAGGCTCCGGGGAAGAGGAGAGGCCGAGCCCCGACCGGCGGCGGGCCCGGGGCAGCGGCGAGCACCGGCGGGAAGAGCCTGTCCGGTAATGGAAGCAGCGCCAACAACTGCTGGGAAGAAGGAAGTTCGGGCTTCAGCAGCGACGAGGAGCATGGTGGGTAGCCTCGATCACAGCCCGGACCTCTTCCGTCCAGAACCGGCTCTGACAAACTGCTCTGTGTGTGTGTTCGGACAGGTGGAGGAGGGATGCGGGTCGGACCGCAGTACCAGGCCGTGGTTCCGGACTTTGACCCGGGTGAGACCTAAAACTGGACCACAGCCCTGCTAGCTGAGCGGTAGCCTCGAACAAAATAGCTTCAGACCGGTTCCATTAATCCTAGTCCCGGTTCTGATGGAACCTGGTCCAGTAGATCCTGGTCAGACTCGGAAGTGTTCTCCTCAAAACTCCATCCATCCTTAACGGCTTGTCATTCTGTTAGCAAAATATCTCATGAACGATTTGACTCAAACTCTCAATGATTCGTGGGACATCGAGAACTCTGGAGTGGACCAGATTCAAGATGGCCGCCACAGCCAATTGACCTTAGCAAACTTGAAGATGACGCCTCAGCCAGTTCAGATTGACCTAAAGTCTGTTGTGGTAGTAGCTGAGAGTCATCAACGACACGTACTCTGAGCTCGATCTTTGTCTAAGACTTCAGCATTAACGGTTGAAGTTAACCCTGTTAGCAAAATATCTCTTGAATTTCATGAAAAGGTCACTGGGCAAACATCTAAAACTCGCCTACAATGTCGGGTTTGAAAATGGTGAACTACATCACTTCCTGTGTGGGCGGAGCCTCAGTTATTATGTGAAATTAAACAAAAGGACTCATTTTCGTTCCCAGATGTGGCCCAGGCGGCTCATCTCAGAGACAACCTGGGAATGTTGATTTGGATCCCCAGCAGCTGCCTGAACAACAACCAGGGTAAGATCCGCCCGACCCGGCTGCTGTCAGGCTGAATGTCGTCTGGAAGCAGAGTCTGATCCTGTGTTTCGTTGCAGTGGACGAATACATCAACATCGCCAAGGAGAAGCACGGCTACAACATGGAGCAGGTTCGTATTGACGCTCTCTCCTAAATCGGTCCGATTCAAGATGGCCACCACCGTTAATCATCCTTATCCAACACAAAAACGACTACAGCTCATTCAGATGTACAGACACAGTGCTTAACTTCAGTTTCAACGTTTGACGTAAACCTTCGTTTCTTTTACTGTCGCTTCTCACTTTAGGATGATCTTAGTTTCAGCTCTGATATGAAGGTGGAGGGTGATGTGCATTCCTTCAAAGAATGCCGGACATTCATTAAATTCTGATTCTGCTCGGATAGACGAGTTTTCCCCTTTCAGCTCAGATGAACCAGACTTGCAGTGTCACCTGCTCGTTGTCGTCTTTAACGGACTTCCTGTTTCTCCGGCAGGCTCTGGGGATGCTCTTCTGGCACAAACACAACATCGAGAAATCTCTGGCCGACCTGCCGAACTTCACGCCGTTTCCTGGCGAGTGGACGGTGGAGGACCGGGTCTTGTTCGAACAGGCCTTCAGCTTCCATGGGAAGAGCTTCCATCGCATCCAGCAGATGGTAAAACCACTTCGCCCGCAGTTAGAGCAAACCCTGGAGGACTGAGGTGGTTCTGGGGTTCATGTGGTCCACGCTCCTACCCTCACCTATGGTCTTGAGCTCTGGGTAGAAGCCAGAACTACGTTAATTGATGCAAGCAGCTGAAATGGGTTTTCTCCACAGGGACTCTCCCTGAAGGCTGATGAGAAGCCCAGTCTCGTTCTCACATGACAAAAATTGTGTGTCTTTCTACTCTTCCCCCAGCTGACACCCCGTCTTGTGCATTGTCCCCAGTCAGAACTAGTTTCTTACAGGCTATGCAGCGAGCACTGTGTGATTGGTCAGAACTTTGTGGGCGTGGTTTATGTAAATAACTGCAGTCAGCTGATCTCAGCGTCTGCCGAGGAGCTGCTGGCTGAGGCTGTGAGAAAACGCAGCCAACATTACAACTGTTTCAGCAAAACTGTTCAAGAAAGTCAAATAAATGTTGTAAAGATAGAAAAAGAACTCGTAGAAGGAGATTGGACCATTTTGTGCACCCAGAAGACGAACTGGCGGCTCTCCATGGCTGTGTTGACCGAGAGAGAACGCTCTTCCCCCCAGGAGGGAGTGCTCTTCGGTCAGACAGCGAAGGTGCAAATTCCCGCACCATCTGTTAGAAACGGTGGCGTCTCTTTGGGACAGATTTTCAAAACAGAGCTTCTCCACGGTTGGCAACAGAAATCCCAGATCTTCCTTCTCCAACTCCATCATTCAAACATCTGGTAAAGATGGACCCTGGACACCTCCTTAAGGAGGTGTTCTGGATATATCCAACTGGGAGGAGACCCCAGGAAAGACACGCTGAAGAGACCATCTCGACTGGTCTAGAGCACCTTGGAGTCCTCCCAGAAGAGTTGGCAGTGGAGAGAGATCTGGACCTCCCACTGGGACGAGACCCCGGGTCAGGCCCAGAACTTTCCAGAGGAATTGGATAGATGGATGGATGGATGGACAGATAGATGCATTGATGGATGGATGGACAGATAGAT